CGATTTACATTTGACGCACCTTAGGGTAAGTAAAGGAGACCGAGCAGAGCCTTCCTACACCGGTCTAAGAGACACAGGTGAACTCTGCTTCAGTTGCTAAATTCTCATGCAGTTCAGGAATTTAGACTGCTTACTTGTAAAACGGCCTAACCAAAACGGTTGGAAGGTATCCATGTCAATAGCAACATTTTCGTTATAACTTTGTTTTTAACTTTTATTTTTCTGAAATATGAACTTGAGTTTTGCGTACATTGTACGGCCTGATCTTAGCGATTGAGTGCTTAAATGTTAATCCGAATGTCTGGAGTTCGAAGCCGGGTTCAATTAAATATACAATTTTTGAGTCCACCCAGCTCTGAAGGGTTCCTAACTTAAGTTAGGGAATGTAAAGGTGGCTGGGCAAAGTGATGACCATACATTCCTTTATATGCCGAAGTCAAGAAACATGAACTACTTCATCTGCACAATAGATTGCTAGGTCTAAGGAGATTTCTTAACTTTTTTTGCGTACATTTAAACAAATAACAAATGTGTTGTGATTCAATAAATTTAACACTTTTGTTTTAATTTTCAGTTGGAAACCGTTTTGAGAAGTGTTAGCCAGAACTATGAAGCAAGAACGGGCGTACTTATTTCACCCCCGACTAGTCGAACAGACATGATCAGATTTAAATCACCTCTTATGTACTGGGCTGACTGTAGCATACATGCTATGCAAAATATACCAAGAGATGCATTCGAAAGTGAACTTTTACAACAAGTTTTGGCTATATCGGAACAGGCTAAGTCAGGACGTTTGTGGGAAATTAGGTTGAGTGGATTTAACTTGACCGGTATGAAGATGACATGTTCGCGTGTTAATGATTTAGTCAACGATTTCGGTGTTAATGTGAGTTGTCATGAAGAAGTTGGAACAAAACGGTCAGCTTCCAAACATGTAGGCTTTTATGTTAATACACCTAAAATAAGCCTAAGCCATATTTTAATGTGCAGTTTTGTTAGTTTTGACCAGTCTAGCTACACATTAAATGTAATTGACACCGACATACCTCCGAGTATAAGCGTAACGCTTGATCTGCATATCACAAAGTTGATCTTCACAAAGAGCTTTGAACTGAACATGTTGGAGATTGATGAACATGGTGTGCTGAAGGTTTGCATTTCATTACTGGACTTGAAACTGGCAGAAATGAAAAGGTACGAAGATGCCGTGCCCAGCAGGGGACATATGGTGGATGGAATAGCGTATGGCTTTAAGACAGCCACGATTTTAACTTCCATGGTGTGTCTATTGCTGACTCTCGTAGCCTATGTACAGAGGTCCTTGTACAGGAACACAGCAGGGATGAACGTCATGTTTGTGTGTACTTCTCTTTGTTTGGCTCAAGCATCTTTTCTAGCAAGCTCGCACGTGTAAGTATTGTTTATTCCACTTTTTGATGGTCTTTTTTATTTCTATATTTTTTTTTTTCGAAATTTGATTTGATATTCATCCTCATCTTTTGTCTTTTGTGCACAAGACACATACTAAGTAGAGTTCATCAGCTTCAATTACATCGACAAAGCCTGGTGTAATGTGGCCAACACTATGACTTTGTTTCCCTAACGTGAGTTAGTTAGGTGCCCATCATAGCTGGGTTCAACTGACTTGAACCAAGATTCGAGCTCGAAACTTTCGTTTTAACAGTAGCGCTCTACCACTAATCCACACAGTCCTTGTTCTGATATTAAAGAACTAACAAACTATTCATACATGAAACACAATAATGGCTGATACTTTTTGAAGGTCTTCTCAAAGATCAGCTTGTGTTGCTGTAGAAGTCTCAACGACATTTCTCTGGCTGTGGATGTCAACATGGAGCTCCATCTGCTGCAGTCATCTACTTCACGTCGTGAGACGCATCACCACAACTTACGACGAGTCACAAGATAAAGGACGCCTGAGGTTAAAGATTGTTTTGGCGTCACTGACTCTTCCTATATTGGCGGTGTCTGTAACTGTATTGTCATCGTATTTTTATACACAAGGGAAAAGTATTGGATTTGGAGTAGGGAATTGTTTTCTTCAGGCGTCATTGATAAACGGTATGTGTATGTACTGTTGCAGTTTCTATTCATACTTATATCTGATGTTGTAGAAGTGGTTTCCAATCTGGGTTCGATCGAACCCCAGGGGTTCGGTGCGTCAGTCTCAGGGGTTCGGCGAGGTCAAGGCATACCTGATTCACGATTTCATTTTGTCAGTACGGACGATAAAACAATTAGGAAGGTTCGATAAATGGGTATAAGAAACTGGTTGGGGTTAGATACCCCCAAAAAGGTTAAGAACAACGGTTATAGTATACAGTTTGAATTAAAGTATACAAAATTGACTGATGACTTTACAGTACTGTCGTTTGTCCATTTTTAAAATACGGTTTATGCAAGGATAATATATAGTTCGTATTAAGCTACAAAAAATAAAACATGGTTGATCATCTTTAAATTTTGAATTAAAGAATTTTTTTTTCGAAATAATACTTAACAAAACAGATGAGTTAGAATTCGACTGTATAAGTTACCATTACAATATTAGTTGTTTGGTAAATAATATTCAGTACCCCATGAGTTTGTTAAACCATTTTCTGGATATGAAATCCGGAGTAGAGTCAATAAAATAACTGAATGCTCTGTAATGAGAAACAGATTGATGACACGTAATTGTTACATTTGTTCATATAGAAATGCATCGCATTACTTGTATGGTAACATTTAAACATTTTTATATAGCTATTTCCATTGCTGGACCACACGTCTGCGCTGCTGTCATCAACATCATCATCTTTGGAACGATCTGCTACAAGCACCGGGGCCCACGCACCAACCAACTCACAGAGACTTACATGAAAGAAAACAAAAGACACCTTCACATCGCATTTGTCGTCTCTCTAACGTCATCGGCTTTCTGGGTTCTCAGTTTTATGGCGGAGAAATTGGACGTTGATTCACTGAGGTTCTCAATTTAAATAGACATTTTCTTACAAAACGTTGTCTTACTGGCATTCAATACTCACGCGCATTATTCTTTAAATAGTGGAGAAATACAATTGTTATTCCTTTATAATGCGGTATAAGGGACGGAGTGGCCTAGCGGTAGAGAGCTGGAATGCTAACCCGTAAGTTTCGAATCCTGGTACAAGTTAATAGACCGTCCCTGAGTCCACCCAGCTCTGATGTGTACCTAACTCACGTTAGGGTAAATAAAGGTGGCTGGGCTTAGTACTGACCACACTATCCCTTCATATGCCGAGGTCACAGAAACAATATTAATCTATTTCACTTGCCCCGTAAACCGCCAGGTTTGAAAGGGATCTTAACTTATATACTTATTATACGGTATGGAATAGGAATAGCGGTATTGATGTATTTTTTTACAATTCCAACGTTAATCATATAATTGCTTTTTATTTCTAAAATAAATACCATCGTATATTTCTAGATATCATAATCAAATATGTAAAGGAGTTTTCAAGTATGTCTCTACGACATCTAATTGATAAACACACGTCAAAAACAACGTAGACAAATGAATGTATAAATTGAAAAAAACCACATATTCACCCTTTGTTTGCCTACTTTGCAGGTTTGTTGCCGCTGCGTTGAACGGACTACAAGGGATTCTTGCTTTAGCGATCACCCTCTACAACCAAAGACAATTGAGCTCTCCTGGACGGTCACTGGAACCTCACAGCATCACGGAAACCTCAGACGTGCCAAGAAAACAAGGCGGCGATCATGGAGAGTAACCCAACCAACAATTGGTTTATTTTCCAACTACCCTACGGATAATAAAAACATGCTTTATTTAAAAGCTTTTAAAATATTATGTTTTATATGGTCTGTTTTTTGTTTACTTTTGTGGTGATTCTTGTTACGCAGTTTTGATCCACTTTTATTGCAACAATTTCTTCAACAGTTTGCAGATACACATGTCTTTGATGACAATGCAAGAATGTCTAATTTTTCAAATAATTAAATTTAAAATTAGTCACTAAAATAAAGTTTACTGTATTTTAAAGTAAAAGAAGAATTTAGCAGCTGGGTTAATGTCCATTTATTTCTCGATCAGCTAGTTAACGTGACTTTATATTTTCTGACTTAGATATACGTGTTGAACATTTTCCTCAACTGCTTTGTCACAGTTTGCTTTACTCGATGTAAATATGCAGACTTTTTACTGGGTTGTGTCTTGTTCGATATTGACGTTCTAATATTATGTATATTTTAGTCCTATTCTACCACAAAATTTAAATAAATTCCTACCTTTTTTTTTTTTGGTTTCTATAAAGAAAGTACAAAGAGTATAATACCTTAAATTTTATTTTTTTTATTTTTTACGATTCTTTAGGCTTTTAAGTCGTAAAACAACATGCCTGAATATAGTTTACTACACAAAAGAAAGTTAGTTTTATCCGATTTGGGGTGTTAAAATTATGATGTTTTTTCTATACAATTTTTGCTATCGGTATTATTTTTGTACAAGAGCGGTAAATAAATACAACAATACTGTCATCAGAGCCAGAGAGGATTTGGGTGGCAAACGACATAAGGGGTTAACCTTAGAAGACATGGCAATGCGGCGTGTTAGGGGAGGCTAGAGGAGGCTGAAAGCGTAAAAATTAATTGGGAAACAGCTAAACAGAGTCTCAGAAGACGGTGAGAGTATAAAGCTTTGACAATGTCCATCATTATCTTCCGCAAGGAACGTAAAGATAGATGAACCAACGACCAAGTGCAGTAAAAAAAAATTTGCTGAAAACTCGTCATAGGCGACAAGAAGTTTAGTATCTTTAAGTGGCGCTAGTTGGTCTATATAAAAATAAACGTAAGCGTATAAAGAATGTTAGGATTTGTTTGAATAATATATGAAAAGAAATCATAGTTACATAACAGTAAGGAAAATGCTGTTTCCACAGGAATTAAAACATGTGTCGTATTGACAATAACAAATAAAAAATTAACTATTTAAGGGGAGGTTTGTTTCCTCTAAGAATACCCTCAAACGTTTCTCTAAACTTTGAGCTCATAAAATAAAACACAAAGAGGTGTGCGGATGAATTTAAAAAATCAAGGGCGAAAACTGTGTACATGATGACCCAGAACAAGTTGTTGTAGAATCTGAGCGTGTAGAACTCTGGTTCGAATAACATGGCCAGATATCCCACAACCCGAGGCAGTAGATTGACGATGTAGATGTTGATGATCACCAATAACATCTTCACAACCTGTTTCTCTTTCATGCTCATCGTTTGTTGTTTAACCCTTTTCTCATCAGCGTGAGTCAGGACTTGTCGGGATTTGAGAGCCTTCCGTAGATGGTAGGAGATGATGAGTGTACTGATGACCATGGTGGCTAGACTGATGCTAGGATACACTGCACCAAAGGCTTGGTTTACTTCTTGGTACCTAACCCCGTATGTTTTGTAAAAATCGGTGTACTGGTACATCATTATGGAAGTGTTGCTCTGTTTGTTGAAGATCCAGATGGGCTCGAACACCATAAATATGGGCACGAATGTACTAAACACGACGACGGATATAATGGCGCACGCTGTTGTTGTGAGTTTAGGAGTTAAAATACTCTTCACTTTAAATGGGATACTCACACAAAGACATCTTTCAACAGCCACGTAGGCGCCCAGTACGTAAGACACATTACTGGATATGATGTGCAGGTAGTGTAAGTTTAGTAGAGTAAACGTTTGCCATGTTTTTCCCAAACTGGGTGAAATCAACGACACGGGTCCGTAGAGTCTGTGTCCAGCGCCGGAAGTGACACGGATTAGGTCCCAGAATGCAATGAACGTCATGGAGATGTTGACGGTTTCTCTAAACCCGAGCTTACTGAACACGTATAATTCAATGACGTTGGTTGCGATCCCAAGAACACAAAGCACTAGGTTCAACCATTGATTGATGATGAATTCTACAAGCGCTAATGCTGTGTCTGAAACCAACTTGTCTTTTGATATTTTGTCTGGAGCTATTGTATTCATAAGCCAGCTTTTATCGCCGTAGTTTGTCGTTATGTTGAAATGAGCATTCATCTTTTTTTTTATATCACCGATCTTTCTTTTTATCTTTTTGTTTCAAATGCTTGTAAATTCAAAGAGTATTCCTACTTAAATTAAATTTTATAGGTTTTCTATTAACTGATGCAATGAATCATATTTTAATATTGCTAATATTCAAAATTAATAAACACATTTCTTTTCCTCTACGAATTAAAAAATCAGATTTATTTTATTAATATAAGATAGTTGTCTGTTTAAAAAATCTCATTTCATTGTGTTGAATTTTAATAAATTACGTTTTCGGCAGATATTAAATTTAGAATTTTAAGCTACGTTACTAACTAACACAAGCAGTATAATTCATACTCTAACGATAAGTTCATGACAATGTAACGCTATACTCAAGGATAAACCATTTGTTTCGGATTAAAAGTTTAACATTTTTAGAGTAAAAAATTCTAAATAGACCTACACATTTATGATAATATTACTGGTTTTTTTTTTGCTATTTCAAAAACTGCTTTCTAAAACGTTTTTTTTTGTTTGTTTTTTTTTGTTATAAAATGTTTACGTTTAAAATGTTAAAAATAAAATACAATCACCGTTTTATTATTACAACTCATGAGTCAGTTTTATAGAATTGTAACGCCGCAGTTTACGTAAATAAAAGAAATCGTGTTTTATAATTTGTTAATAATTGTTGGCAAAATTATATAGTAATTCACCCACAACAGTCAAATAATTATAGTGTACGTTTTTCTGTTTCAAAATATTATATGAAAATTCGCGTCGTACTTCATGTATTATTATCCAATTTTAAAATGTTCGTAGTCGATAATGTAAAGTAAACCCACAACGAAAATCAATTAAGTTCCACTTATAAACAACTATGAAATATTTGATTCCAACAAAAGATGTAGTTTAAATTCTGTAGGCCACTCCCTTTTAACATTTCTTAATTGGTGCTTACTGGGTTGACAGTGTATAATTTTGATATTTTACAAATCAAACACTCAATTACATGGTGGTTATTTAATTTAATTAACTGACGCTAATTAAAACCAATTAAAAGAAACTATAGGCATAGAATTAGGATACTTTCAAAACTAATTAAAATACTTTTTTGCGACGTTATTAAAGCAAAGATCGTTATGAAAACTTGATTGTATAATAGTAACTCCTGTACATAATGTAGCTTTGTTATTAATAATGTGTAACTAAATAAAATAAGTGTTACTATAATCTAAAGCAGGGGTCTCCAAACTACGGCCCGCCGGCCAGATGCGGCCCGCGAGGTCCTCTCATCCGGCCCGCGGCGATCTTTTTGTCCACGGAATAAATGTTTGTTAGAGGTGGCTGAGAGACTATGACCAGAAAATTCAAAACAATTTGAAAATGAAGCTTTGGGTGCAAATACCATTGCCCGCCGTGTTGCAGACATTGGTGAAAAAATCGTGACTCAAATAGTGAAAATGCAAGCAAGTTTGACAATTTTTTAATTGTAATGGATCAGTTGCTGGACAGCTGTTGCACATCTCAACTGCTTGTGTTCATTAGAGGTGTGGATGAAGACATAAACATTACACAAGAGCTGGCTTCCCTACATAGAATGTATGACACTGTTACCGGAGAGAATATAAATAGTTCAAAGACATGTTAAAAGATAGAAACACAGAATCGAAAGATTTACCATATTTCACAGCAGTAAGATGGCTAATTTGCGAGAAATTTTTCTGAGCAGAGTATTTACGTTAAGAAAGGAAATAAGTGACTACCTTGAAAGTAAAGGCAAGCCACAAGCTTATGTACTTACTGTCTGATGAAGAGTGGGTATAGAAATTGGCCTCTGCTGCAAACATAAGTAGTCATTTACATTTTCTGAACCTAAAACTACAAGATATGGAAATTTAGTTTCTAAAGGCTTTCAGATCCAAACGTGTCATGTTTTTGCACTCTCAGAAGTGCAAGGTATTTAGGCTCAACCAACCACTGAGTTCCCGTATTTTGCATACGAGATCATCAAAGACTTCAAGCTGCAGTTTCAGTAGCGGTTTTTTTACTTGGATTCAAAGGCAGAAAAAAGTGAGACTGTTTCAGAACCCATTTGTAGCAAATGTGGCCAGTTGCAGAGGTGAACTGCAGCTGGAGGTCATTAGAGACACGTTCAAAGAAGGGCCGGTGGGATTTTATAAGTTTTATAAGATTTTTCCTAATATTAAAACTTTTGCATCAAAGTACCTTTCAAATTTTGGAACAAGATACCTGTGTGAACAAATATTTTCAAGATTGAAATACGTGAAAAACATTTTTAAAGCAAACTTGGACCTCGAGTGTGATTTTGGCCACCGACAGTGTTTCTTTCAGACTTTTTCCTCCGGGGGGGGGTCGACTCTTCAAATTTGTATATATTTTCCCAAATAAATTATATTTCGTTAAGGGGGGGGGGGGAGACGGTACACGTTTTTCGGGGGGGGGGGGGGGAGGGCGCTGCCACCCCGAAGAGATGTCTTGAAGAAACTCTGGCCCCCGTACTGATATTTGATAGTTAATGCGGCCCTCGGGCTTAAAAGTTTGGAGACCCCTGATCTAAAGAAAGACAAATAAAGATTCATCAGCGAGAACCAAAAAAAAGGAGTAGCAAGCTTATACATTTCAAAATGAAAACTTAACGCTATAAAGAGCGTTGTATCAAAATAATAAATGCTTCAGATAAAAAAAATAATGTCTCTGATGAAATAAAAATCAAGTAGTGTTTGTATAACATGCGGCACACAATTGTTTATGGTAATGTTTCTAATATGTATGTATACAATAAAATAACCCCAACCAAAAATAACGATGTTTTTAATGTTTCTGCATTGGCAAATTTAAAAAAAATACCGATTCCTAAAATAAAAAATTAGTAGAAAGAATAATTTCTAAAGGTGTAATAATTCTATTTTTAAAAACGTTTTCTATTACACATTTCTCGTTGATGTCACGCGACATTGGCTGGTTCCTTTTACCAATCTGTAAGAACACCGTTTATACAGAACATTTTCTTAAATATTCACTTTAAGTGACAGTTAAGCTTACGAGTTGTTTTTTTGATCGAATCAAACACTAGATAAAGATCTTAAGTGATGCGTAGGAATAAGACTGAGTAACGCATGCTTCTACATAAAGATATCGTTTTCCTTTAAGTCGTGTAACGAAGATATCCGGCTTTACCTATAAGTCATCCATAATACCGTTGAATTGCTTACTTAGCTATGTGATCTTCCACTTATGACGTTCACAAAAAAAAATGAAATTTAGAACCACAATATTCCTACCTAGAATTTTTTGCCCCCCCCCCCCTCTTCTCCAGTCCGTTATCACATACATCTACCCCCCTTGTGTTTGTGTTGTTGATTTGCGCTAAGAAAATGTTCTGCAAAAAAATTTGTGTATGCCTAAAATTAAACAATGAAATTGTTAAAAAAATTTTCTAGAGGCGTCTATCATTGGTTTCAAGGTTTTGTGTTAAGTCTTAACATGTAAGTTACTAATAAACTTCGTTTTTAAGTTCAAACTCTTTAGAATTAGGTTAGGTTATTATTTATTATAATAAGTTATGTAATAATTAAGTACATAATAAGTTATATTTATATGAGACAAATTAATGAAATCTTTATAGCTTCCATGTACGCACACACACACATACACACTTTGTAACTCACAATACGAAGACGAAAATCGTGTATCTTACTAACACACTAACGATATTAGTATTTAATTTTTACTTTCTCGTATACGAAGTATAGAGAAAGTATTGTAATCGTGCAAAAAAGAAACCGAAATAAACCGGGAGTGATCTCCCCTAAACTTTCTCGAATATTTCTATATACAATAACAGGGGATGGGAACTCGGGCTATAGACATGATTTTTAATCCATTTTAAATACTTAAAGTTTTAAAAATAGAATAAAATCTCGTAGACAAATTAATTGCACACCAAGTGAACGCGAAATAAAAAAGCGCATAATAGTGCGCAATATTATTAGTACTTTTAAAATTTACATTAGTTTTTTGAGAAATCGGAAGTAGCGTAAATTACTACTTCCGGTCAACGGAAATTACTCAAAATTTAACAGAAGGTAGAGAATTAGATCTTTTACTCACATGTGAAATTTCATTTATCTATCTGAAATAGTACTCAAGTTATAGGCTTTTGAAAAATTCAAAGTAGAAAAAGTACCACTTCCGGTTGTCGGAAATCGCTCAAAAGTTGATACGGATCTACGATTTTGATATAATACTTATATATGAAATTTCATCAACCTAGCTGTAACGGTACTCAAGTTATCGTGTTTACACACGGACACACACACACACACAGACATACGGACAAGATTGCAAAATTATGTTTTTCCGTATCAGTGAGGTGTAAAACGTCGAGATTTGTAAAAATCTCGATTTTTTTTTTGCACGATTACAATACTTTCTTTATATAAGAATATTCGAGAAAGTTTAGGGGAGATCACTCCCGGTTTATTTTAACTCTTACAGATTCACTGTGCTGATCAATAGCTAATCTAGCGAGCGGCTGTAAAAAGGCAGTGCAAAGCCGCAGATTCAGTTGTTGAAAGTTTAAGTTTATCCAAAGGGCTCACTTATCATCCGAGAGTTTAAATAATTTTAAAAGCGTGCATTATCCGTTAAAAAGAATGTGCTAATAAATAATTAATTTTGTGTATTTTTTATTTATTTTTGTAGGCCTCATACAATTTCAACAAATGTTTTATCTATTTTTTAGGTATTTAAACTCTATTTAAATAAAACGTTACGTTTAACTCCACAATATTGTCTTTGTGATGCAATTTAATTATTGATATTTAATCATGTGTCTCTGTTCGTGCACAAAACACATGCGACAGAAAGATGATACACAGACTCGATCCCGAGATCCGAACTCAAGACTTTGAAGTGAGCAGTTGTTAGCTCAACAACTCAACCACGGCCTCCCTGACGATTCATAGTGAAAATAATATATTGACAGGAAAAATGATGTT